GCTGTCTGGGGAAACTTCAGAAAGTGACATCTAGAAGGGAAGGCTGTCACTAGGGGACAGATCGTGAGGTGTACAGACCAGTCTTGTTTCTAGTCTGCTTTCTGCACCTTCATCTACCCAGATCAGATAGGAGCCAGCTCATGCTGCCTCATCTGCAAGTTCTAGCTGCCATTTTTTTCCTGTCATTGGATTCTCACAAACTTTGAGACAAATTAAATCCTTTCTCCCTGAAGCAGCTTCTTCAGGTCTCTTGCTACGGCAGAGAAAAACAAAATAATACAATAAATATGGATACAGGGGGCTGGAGAGATGCCTCAGTGGTTAAGAGCATTGCCTGCTCTTCGAAAGGTCCTGAGTGGCTCACAACCATCTGTAATGAGGTCTGTGTGCAGGCATACACACAGACAGAATATTGTATACATAATAAATAAATAAATATTTAAAAAAATAAAAACGAATACAGAACACTTACTTCAGGACTAAAAGTTAGAAGCAGCCAGTATTAAAACTATATGGCTTGTCTTTGGGCCTGATCACCCCAGCATTCTCCCCAATGCCTGAGGTTTACCTCTTATAGAGCCAGCCTTGGCTATACAGCATTCACCTTCCTGGATTTCACCTCAGACTCTGAAGTGTCAAATGAAGTGGCGTGGGACATACTCCAGGGATACAGTACCTTGTATGGCAAAGGTTTAAACCTGACTTTGTCCACAAGAGAAGGAGAATGAATATCAGAGGCGACTTAAAATTCTCTAAATGTAAAGGGAAAAGTAAACAAGTGGGATGATTAATGCACTGATTTGCCGAGGAGTCTCCAAACTGTTATCATCTACACGAACAGCAGCAGTTCCACTGAATTTGCCCTGCTACACGGACCCAGAAATCAAGGAGCACAGGTCCACGTCATGTGTACCCAGAGCCAGATCTCTCTTTGTTCCTCATTAGTCATGTGCTTGCTCTGAATTCCATGATGCTATAAGCAACTTCCTATAGACAGTGGGATGAGGATGAAATGAAAAGTCAGAATACATAGCACAATGTCTAATGTGACGAGGAGACAGATGGCAGCATGTGAGAAGTCCTCGCAGCAACCTTCTACGGCAATACTTTACACCAACATCTGTGTGGTGGTTTGACTATAAACTCATAGGAAGTAGTATTATAGGAGGTGTAGCCTTGTTGGAGGAAATGTGTCACTGTGGGGTGGACTTTGAGGTCTTCTGTGCTCAAGCGACACCCAGTGTCTCAGACCACTTCCTATTGCCTGCAGGTCAAGATGTAGGGCTCTCAGCTCCTTCTCCAGCACCATGTCTGCCTGCATACCACCATGTTACTCCATGGTGATAATAGACTAAACCTCTGAAAATATAAGCCACCACAATTAAATGGTTTTTCCTTTCTAAGAGTTGCCATGGTCATGGTGTGTCTTCACAACAATAAAAACCCTAACTAAGATAATCTGAAATCCAGCCCTTCTTCCTTCCTACCTGTCTACCTCTGCTACACTCTTTAGCCTTTTCCCCAAGCTGCATAGTTCCCAAACCTTATTTCCTAGCAGCTGTAGATTTGGCTCATTTCTAAAAGCCATACACCCATATATTCACTAAGCAAACTTGTAGAACATATATATGGGGGACTTATAGCTAAAAGAATAAGCCAGATGGTGGTGGCTCACACCTTTAATCTCAGCACTCGGGAGGCAGAGACAGAAGGATCTCTGTGAATTGGAGGTCAGCCTGGTCTACAAGAGCTAGTTCCAGGACAGACACCAAAGCTACACAGAGAAACCCTGTCTCAATCCCCCTCCCCAAAAAAAACTGAACCAAAAGCATGGGGGTAAGTGATGGGATTGTAAATTTAAAAAAACTGACCCTGTGATCAGTTCCCCCATCTACCCACTGGCGATGCTGCCTTTTCTGCCTGAGTCTCCATTTTATTCAGCTGTCAGCATTGCTATGCCTTCCTCAGCAACTCCCACCCCCATTCAAAAGCTGAACAGCCATGAAAACTGATGGCAGAGCCTCGTTCTGAAAAGCAACTCGCCAGTAACGTCAAAGGTGTTAAGTTCATAAAAGACAAAATCACTAAAGAACTGTCACAGGCTAGAGAAGACCAAAGTGAAATGAAAAATAAAATAAAATGCAATATGCTTTGGCCCAGGGAAATCTAAAAGATTATTAGTCAAAAGGCTGGTGAATGACTAAAGCACACAGTTAAACATATTCTATCAATGGCATTTCCTACATTGAATAACTGTACTTTTACTTTGATTGTGTACGATTTTATTCACAGTGGAAGAGGTAGAAGGGCACTCTCTATACTACTATACAGACTTTCTTTAGGTTTAATGTTATTTCAGAATAAAACATTCAAACATAAATGTGATTATTTAAGATTTACTATAAAGCATCTCAATCCCATTGGACTTGCTAGGTGATATATTCTTTGAGAAACTGTGATTCCTATGCTAAGCCAATTGCAGTAAGGCCATCACACAGGTTAATAAAAAGTCAATTTCAAGGTATAGAAAATCCACCTTAAGCACTACTATTAGACTGCAAATCCATTAAGAGAGTACAGTGCCACCTACACATACTCAGTAATACTAAGGACTTAATGACAGCGAATGATACTGTGCCTTGTCTTTCATGTGACTGGGTAAATATTCCTCTTGAATTAACATAACTGAATAATATGCTTAAACAATAACTCCACTGGGACCAACGGTTCAAAAAGAAAAAGACAGGAAAAGAGAAAGAGACATAAGGAGGCATACTCCAGGGCATACCTGCTCCCCCTTCAGACCTGTCTTGAAAGCTTTGAGAAACAGCCTTGGTCAACAATCTCTCAACAAAGCAATAAAAATTATCCTCCATATTAAAAGTTACAGAGGAGCTTTTTGTAGGAACCAAGTATTCAGTGTTGCTTGGCATGGATTAAATAAATAGGTGAAAGTTTATCACACCAACACCGATCTTTTCAAATGAAGCAGTCTACAGATTGTAGGAAAATATAAGGACATATGTCCGAAAGCAGTTTGCTCATAAAACTAGACAGAAAATACCATAACATGATATAGCTTTCATAGTACAACCTCAAGCTAAAGAATAGACAACCAAACTAAGTTTGAAACAGCCAGCACAGGACTGGCTTAATAAATATTTGTTGTTGAATAACATAATCCCAACACTAAGTGTTCTTTTATGCAAACGAGGCCTGCTAGCAACAGAGTATATGAAATGAAGTTATGGCATCTCTATATGATGCAGATACAGCACTGACGCATTAAAAATGTGCTTCACCAGCAGGACACGGTGCCGCACACCTTCAAGCCCAGCACTTGGGAGGCAGAGGCAGGCAGATCTCTCTGAGTTCCAGGCCAGCCTGGTCTACAGAGTGAGTTCCAGAAAGCCAGGCCTGTTACACAGAGAAACCCTGTCTCAAAAGACTAAATAAATAAATAATGTGCTTCACCTGCAGTAGCTATAATTTCCTAATCCTGATTGGAATACAAATGTTCGTTTACATTAATTTGTATAATAAATATCAATCACTATAACAATTACCTAAAAAAGCTGTGTTTTCCTTTAGAAATAAATGATGGTATGTCAGGATATTTTTATGGACTCACAACCCTGAATTTCAAGGAGCTATCTCACAGTTTTCGATGCCCTATTCAAATTTGCCTGCTTAGAGACGGCCAGCTTGTTTTCCTAGGGGGAGAGGACTGCCCAGCTGCCCACTGTTACATGGCTTCTTTCTCTTGGGTGGGTATCCTCTTCGTCAAGAACTAAGCGAGGATGTAAACTTGTCAAACCAAAGGCAAAAAACAATGTAGACATGATAGGCTTATTCCACGCGGAGAGGCTTATCAGAGGGTAGCAAAAACACACTGCACTGAATGACAAAGTAAACGTACACTCCAAAGAGTAGATTAACATTAAAGAAAATACTCAGAACCTCAGAAGCGTTTAAATCCCATCCCTGGCTGTCTGCCATCATTCCACTCCCCTGTATCCCATTACCTACTGACCAGAGGTAGGTAATGTAGTTTCAAATGAACCCTGGTAAGAGCAGTCTTGAAGGAGACACACTTACAGAATACCTGTGTCCAGCAGTAAAATTGTCTACTGGATTGAGCAAGTTGATACTGGATAATTCTACCTATTGAAATTATCATCCAAGAAGAAAAAAAAAAATTTCGTTCCAGCTCAAAAGAAAGGAATGACTGGGGAAGAAAAAGCTTCTCACTCAATAGTAGGTTTTCTGGTCGCGAAAATAAACACTCAGAGTACCACATCAGCTGCAGCTCCCTGCGCTGGCCTCTGGAACAAGCATCCTACTAGAACAGCTTTTAGAAACAGCTCCAGCCAGAATGAATTAAGCAAGGTCTGCTGCAGTCTGGTCTGGGTAGGCTTATTTTTTTAAAAAACAAATCAAAATTTGGACTATAAACCACTCAAGCACATGCAGAAGTGCACTATGTCACCGTGTCAGTTATGGACACTTTGACACTCCTCTACAGCCAACCTCGGGTACAATCTTTAGTCCCGCCCAGCCACAAAGTTTTACAGAGAAACAGCGCCATCTTTTGATGCAAACAGAAGTCCAGAAAACTACTATTTCAAACTTTTTTTCTCAGGTAAAATCACAACATACACAAGTACCATTGCATCTTATATCATAATTATCATCTCCTAAGAATGGTTTCTTTCCAAAAGTAGTAAAACGTAGCACATAAGTTTGCTTACCAAGATGCAAAATTGTAAAATACTGCAAAATAATATCAACTCAACATTTCATTAAACAAAATTTACAAATTATGTCATCCAACTGACATATATTAAGTAAAAAAAAACCTTTTTGATCATTGCTATATATCAATACTGATCGTATTTAAGATGGACTCATTAATTTCATAACTGGCCAAATAGCAGTAAATTATCAGTGAAATCCCGATGCGCAGAAATGCAAATACAGAAAGTTTCTGGGTTACTTACACCAGTGACACAATGTCTCCACGCTGGACTTCGAAATTCCTCACCTTCCAGTGGTTCAGTAGGACCACATCGGAGGACTGGCATCCTCCGGGGTTCAGAGAAGGCTGCAAAGAAGAGATGCATCCGTCACTTGGAATTGTTTTCAGTTTTTATGCAGCAGAATTCAGTTTTAAAAACTCCTACCTTTCAAATCTTTTGCAAGTCTCGAATAAGAACAAATGAGTTTTCAAACCTGCTAACTAGGATTTTTCCAAAATGTAACAGAATAAGTAAACAAGTTACCAATGTTTGGGTGGAGCTCCGTCTCAGGCCTCCTCCCCCTCCCCCTCACTCCAAACCCTGCCCCGTCTCAGAAAGCCCTAGAAAGGGCGGCTCCTCCCCAGGAGATGCCCAGGACCACACCCACAGGCTATTTAAGATGAGGTTCCCCGACTTGTCACGTGGTTTCCCCTTGTGGTTTGTTTTCTTTCTACTAGAACCACCCAGGGAATGGTTTGCTCGAATTAAACCCGGACTCATTAATTTGGCCTGATCTGATTTATTACTTTGGCAGAAGAATCCAATATTGGAGTACAGAAACCTTTCAACCAATACTTATTTGCAAGGAAAATATGACTAAAATGAATTACTAAATTCTAGTAGAGAGATACCAAAAAAGTTTTATGAATAATGAAAACATGTGCAAGGATGGACTTAATTATCCTAGGATAATAATCTGGTGGGACCTACTCCCACAACATCGTTCCCTGTGGAAAAGAAGGAAATAATCTAATGTCACCCAGCAAAACATATACATGAGGAACCACCAGGAGTAGGAAGGACAAGGATGGGAAAATCACTAAAATACACAATTCCACCCTTCCATCCCTCTTTTTCCAAGAGTATGTACAGAGGTCCTGGTCTCTGCCTGAGGAGAGTAACTGGCCTTCCTCCCACAATTCAGACAATACCGGTTGTGCCTAAGGATGAACGAAGCAATGACTGAGACGCACTGCGTTCGCTTAGCTACAGAAATGTCACAAGTGAGCCATGCTATGTGCATGGAGAAACAACACAGTCCATGGATAACACGTCCAGAAGGAACGAGGGGGAAGAAAAAATGAAGGATGAAGAGAGTGTTTCTACTGCTGACAGAAAGTGTAGACGTGAGATGCAGCGATTTCTTTGAGGACAGAAGGGTTCCCAAGAGTGAGGCCGTTTGTTTCGCTGCAAGGCTAATGATGACTGCAGAGGAAACACAACCAAGTCAAGGGTCAGGCAGCCATGTCTGAAACAACAGTGGCAAACGCTTTTAAGGTTCCTGGGAATCAGGGGCTATGGAGATGGCTCATGGGTAAAGCCTGCTGCATACACCAAAAGAACAGAATTCAGAACCCCAACAGCCACAAAAAAGACATGGTTATGTCTGCTGTAACCCCAGCTTCTAGGAGGTAAAGGAGCAGAACCCTGGGAGTTACTGGCCAGCTACTCCCACCAAATCAGTGAGCTCCAGGTTCAGTTATAGATGCAGCCTTAGAGAAAATGAGGTAGATTTGGAGCCATCCATGGGAGTGTGGTTGACCTACCAAGAGCCACATTCTGAAAGAAAAGTCTCCCTCTTCCACAGCTATCAGTGGCCCATGGTTCCTCAGTTAGGGGTGGACCTCAGTGCCCATCTGCCCTCCATGGGTTCCTCAGTTAGGGGTGGGACTCAGTACCCATCTGCCCTCCATGGGTTCCTCAGCTAGGGGTGGGACTCAGTGCCCGTCTGCCCTCTCCATGGAATTTTGTCTGGCTTTATTTAGCTTGAGCAGGTATGTGAACAGCACAAACTGGACTTGATTTTTTTTTAAAGGATGCAAAGCTGAGTGGGTGAGAGGAAGGGATGGGTCTAGAAGACATTGTCGGGGGAGAGGCTATAATAAAAATACACTGTTTTAAACTGGAGGAGGCACAGCTTCGACAAAGCATTGGGGGAACCAGAATTGCTAAGCATGCAATCTTCTTCAGGGGAAGGAAAGGCTGCCTTTCCACCCGGAAGGCTGGAGTGGATATTGTCTACCAACCTATTTTGTGGAATCAGCCTTCACCTGAATTCCCCTAAATCCTGAGTACTGTTTAGGCCAAATCCTGAGCTTTGTCTCTCAGTGAGTGGAACCCTTCCTTATGAAGGAAGTTGCATGTACTTTGCATTCTCTGTCTACTGAATCTATCCTTATGCTTATTACAGATCCTTCCTCCTGATGCCCGTGGCCTGGGGGCACTGTTTATCTTCAACAGAACTCATTCTTAAGAACTTTGCTAAAGAGGTGTGTTTTGCAAGGGAGTTTAGGTGTAACCATCCCTGAAGCTTTGTTGAGATAACTGTCACATGGAGGCTTTTCCCGATGTTTTACTGTGTTTACTGCATAAGAAAAATAACCTCAAGGTCAGACTCTGAAGGTTCTGGACCCAGCACCTGCTAGCATGGTGGTGACCAAGTTTCACTCTTCAGCTCGTGCCAAATGTTTCCCTGTCAGCCGTGAGGCTTGAGGACTTCCAGGAAACAACATTTTCAAGAACCTGATTTTAAAGGTCAGAGGGAAAGTTTAGAAATAAAATAAGAGAGCAATTTTAAAAAGTGGCCAGATACAGTGGCACACGGCTTCAATCCCAGTGTGTAAAAGAAAACAGCAGATGGATCTCTGTACTTAAAGCTGATCTACATAGGGAGTCCAGGCCAGCCAGGGCTATTCAGTGAGACCTGGTTTCAAAAAAACAAACAAACAAACAAAACTGGTGGAGAGCATCTGAGTAAGACTGAGGAAGATACCCAGTGTCCATCTCTGGTCTCCATACACACACACAAACACGCATGTATATCAAAAGCATATATGTATGCATATACAAATACCACACAGACAGGAAAAACAAATAAAAACAGGCTCCTCGGATTGCCACTAGGTTTCCTTTAAATTACGTGTGGGCAAAGATGTAGTCATTTTACGCAGAGATTTTAGCATGACTTTATTTTTAACTTTGCAGGTTTGTGTAGGGGGGGAACCACACTTTGTTACCACTGGAAACTTCAAACACCCCCAGCAGAGACCCCACCAATCATTCACATTTGTGTAACCCCTAATCACCCTCCTTAGCTCCGCATTCCTTGCTTGTCACCCCGCTTGACTGTGTGACATCAAATCTCAACGTGACTAAAATAGAGCTTAATGTTTTATTCCTTATCTTCTTCTGAGTCATTTACCGCTGTTACAGTCAACCCTCTTGAGCATTTAGAGATGGCTTTATTCCCAATCAGCAAGCCACGTGGTGTTTCCGTCCGTCTTCTCAGAGTAGTTTTCATATATGATACATCATATTTCAAGCACAGTCTCCGCCTAGCTCGCAATACGTCTACACTCACCAGTATCTCCCCTCCAACTGCAAAGGATGCCATTGCTTTCCAGCCACGTCATGAGCAAGTTACTCATCTTCACTGTGCCTTCTTATACTAGCAAAATGATGGCGATTAGTAACTAGTACCCAATTAATAAGCCATGGTGATCAGTACCTGCTAATCATTCACCATGCTGCTCTCCAGACAGCCGGTCATTCTGACGAGCTTTAAAACACTAATCTACTAAAATCACTCTCTTCTTTCCTTCTCACTCTGTAGCCCTGATCTGCCTCCCTCAGCCTCCAGGGGCGGGGTGTCACCATGATGAGATAATTCTTTAAAGTGATCATATCAGCTCCTAGCACATAATCACCATCTCAAAAAGATCTATTATATGTATGTATACTTTTCCCAGCTCCCTCTGCTCTAACCCCTAAACAAGAACAGTCTACCCAGCAGGAAAATTCTAAAGAGCTTGACTTTGGTTAAAAATTCCAAGCTGGGGAGAAGGTTCAGGTGATGTTCAAGATAAAGCACTTGTTCTGCAAACATGAAGGCTAGAGTTAAAATCTACATAATTCAGGTTGAAGCAGGGTGGGTGTGGTACCCATCTGCAATCCCAGCATTTCAGAAACAGACAGAAGGGAACTCTGAAGCAAACAGGCTAGCTAGAATAGCAAGAATCGGTGTGCCCTGAGTTCAGGGAGAGACCTTGTAGCCTCAAGTCACTTTCTTCTCAATGGTAAATCCAAAGTGCTCCACACACAACAGTGAGCATACTCTCACAGAATTGCATTTTTAAATTGTAAATGAGCAACATTTTCTTTTATTGTAACCCCATTTATAAACTTAAACTCTAAGACTAGCAACATTGTTTGGAGCTCCGAGCATGTGGTGGTTTGGATGAGAATGACCCCCGATATGTTGGCAGATTTGAATGCCGGGTCACCAGGAAATGGCACTATTTGAAAAGATTATGAAAGGATTAGGAGGCGTGGCCTTGTTGGAGGAAGTATATCACTGGGGGTGGGCTTTGATGTTTCAGAAGCCCAAGCCAGCTCAATGATATGTTCTCTCTCTCTCTCTTCCTCTCTCCCTCTCCTCTCTCTCCTCTCTCTCTCCCTTCTCCAGAACTATGTCTGCCTATGTCATTATGTTTCCCATCATGATGACGAAGGGCTAAACCTCTAAACTATAAGCAAGCCCCAAATTAATGTTTTCCTTTCTAAGACTTATGGTCTATTTCGACTTTCCAGTTGGATCTATATGTTTTTCTTAGGGTTCACTTTATTATTTAGCTTCTTTAGGATCATGAACTATAGGCTCAATGTGCTTTGTTTATAGCTAGAATCCACTTATGAGTGACTACATAACATATTCAACTTTTTGGGTCTGGGTTATCTCACTCAAGATAGTGTTTTCTAGTTCCATCCATTTGCATGCAAAATTCAAGATGTCATTGTTTTTTTACAGCTGAGTAGTACTCTAATGTGTAAATTGCCACATTTTCTTTATCCATTTTTCGGTAAAGGGGCATCTAGGTTGTTTCCAAGTTCTGGCCATTACAAATAATGCTGCTGTGAACATAGTTGAACAAATGCTTTTGTAGTATGATTGAGCATCTTTTGGGTATATGCCCAACAGCGGTATTGCTGGATCCTAAGGTAGGTTGATTCCCAGTTTTCTGAGAAATCGCCATACTGATTTCCAAAGTGGTTGTACAAGTTTGCATTCCAACCAGCAATGGATCCT